ATGCTTCCAGGCTTGGCAGCGGCGCTGGGATCGTTGTGTTCACTCCCAGGGGAACTACTTCGAGGGTGATGGATGAATTTAATACCTGAGATAAGTGTACGGGTTTTTATAGGCGCAGTCTTGAAACTTTCCGATCGCACCTCGTAGTTCATAAATTATTATGACAATTGTAGAAAATCCAAGTAAATGCAGAAATTAAACACCAGAAGACCATACAGAAATTTCCCTTAAATTCCTACAGATGGTAAATGTACTTTCTTTTGAGGCGACCTGCCTAACGACTGTGGAAAATATAAAGAAAATGTTACATTTTAGACCATGAAATTATGCCCACAGAAATGAAGGTACATCAAGTGACAGACATAGTTACATAAGAGAACACTAGCTCTTTTATGTAATACACAACATTAATGTTAGAAGTATAATGCAACCCTCGGCCCAGGACATTTCGTGGGCAGTTAACAGATTCTCAGTCACACAAGATATCACTGTTCTTATAAACCATGAACGATCATCACCATCATCATAAAACCCAGACCTAGATATGAACCAGTTCACTCCACTTTACAATCTTGCTACATATTTCCTTAAACACCATCTTAATACAAATATATACACATTTTATAAATGTAACATCCCTGATACATTAAAACAAATATTACTTCCTTTAATACGTGGTCTCTTTCCAGAAATTACCTGACCAAAACTGTGTGTGTATTTCTTGTTTACCTCAAAAATATTATATGTCCAGTACCTCGACTGCTTTAATAATACTACATGCGAAGCAGGGCCCCATAAATATGCTTGACCGCAAGCCAAAAAGGAGGTAACTTGAGCAAAGGCACATACAATTCCAGTATCAGTCTACATTAATGAGAAATAAAAATTACAATACAACTCACTGGGTAACTCTGTCCATACTCCTATGCAAATATAGAAAGAAGGCACACAAATTTTAAACCTGTCAAAATTAAAGATGCAAACTGTCACACATATATGAACGCACAAAGAATCTCATTTGTCGCCAGAAAACTTGCCTTGTACACGGGCATTAACATCCACAAAGACTGCTGGGAGTACACCAACAGCATATAAACTATGATCGTCTTCAGGTGTCTGAAAACATCCGGATGTGGATGACAGATGCGTGAAACTAGTTGTGAAAATGCCGTCAGGAACATGTAAGGAGGAAGTTCTTCAACCAACTGATCTAGAAGTGAAACAGTACGTCTTTTCTGAGTGAATAAACTAGTGAACATTTTGGAAGCTATGAAATAAAAATGTAGAATTCCAAGAAACTAGTTCAAAATTCTTTCATGCAAAAGACACAACCAGTCGGTCATACACATTTTTCATTCGCGTGATTAAACTACTCTTACTACCATTCAATTCAGAATCTCCAGACTTACTATTGTTTATCTACAAATGCAAAAAACAAAATTCAACTCGGAAGATATCCGTCTTCTGGGTTGTTGCGCTGTGTAGTCTGGTCGATGTTAGCCAACGTTTCAGAGGTCATACTGCCTCCATCATCAGGGCGATGAGTATGAAGATTTCCGTCTTCTGGGTTGTTGCGCTGTGTAGTCTGGTCGATGTTAGCCAACGTTTCAGAGGTCATACTGCCTCCATCATCAGGGCGATGAGTATGAAGATTTCCGTCTTCTGGGTTGTTGCGCTGTGTAGTCTGGTCGATGTTAGCCAACGTTTCAGAGGTCATACTGCCTCCATCATCAGGGCGATGAGTATGAAGATTTCCGTCTTCTGGGTTGTTGCGCTGTGTAGTCTGGTCGATGTTAGCCAACGTTTCAGAGGTCATACTGCCTCCATCATCAGGGCGATGAGTATGAAGATTTCCGTCTTCTGGGTTGTTGCGCTGTGTAGTCTGGTCGATGTTAGCCAACGTTTCAGAGGTCATACTGCCTCCATCATCAGGGCGATGAGTATGAAGATTTCCGTCTTCTGGGTTGTTGCGCTGTGTAGTCTGGTCGATGTTAGCCAACGTTTCAGAGGTCATACTGCCTCCATCATCAGGGCGATGAGTATGAAGATTTCCGTCTTCTGGGTTGTTGCGCTGTGTAGTCTGGTCGATGTTAGCCAACGTTTCAGAGGTCATACTGCCTCCATCATCAGGGCGATGAGTATGAAGATTTCCGTCTTCTGGGTTGTTGCGCTGTGTAGTCTGGTCGATGTTAGCCAACGTTTCAGAGGTCATACTGCCTCCATCATCAGGGCGATGAGTATGAAGATTTCCGTCTTCTGGGTTGTTGCGCTGTGTAGTCTGGTCGATGTTAGCCAACGTTTCAGAGGTCATACTGCCTCCATCATCAGGGCCCTGATGACGGAGGCAGTATGACCTCTGAAACGTTGGCTAACATTGACCAGACTACACAGCGCAACAACCCAGAAGACGGATATCTTCATACTCACCGCTGTGAGAACCTCAAGTCTTACAAAATTCAACTCCCACCCTACGCGAAGAACACAAAATGAAGTGGTGGGAAAGTCAGGAAAACTGCATAATGAGCTTCATAATTAGCACTGCCACATATGCTTTATGATGCTTACTAGCTCCAGTATAATGAGAAATTGCAAGGTTCCTTTTTTCCTGCATCTTCAGACATTACATCCAGAATATTAATCTGTCCATGGGCTATCTTGACACAACTACCGATCTGAACGATTGATTCACAACCCTCCATTACAGACTTTTGAACCAGAGCGCTGTAACTGATGGGTGGCTACCACTGAAATATTTTACCTACCCTACTATTTATAACCAACCATAACCCCATTTCCTATTCTTTCCCCCTCATTTAAAACGCTGAGCACTTTTGCAGACACAAGATCCCTGTATCCAGTGTCATGTCTCTTATCAGGACACAGCCGACTGTCGACTGGATTAAAAAATGTTCTGTGCCTTTCTAGTGGCACATTATCAGAGATATTATTACACCCACGGTTTTTCACACCTTTAGGGTAAAGATCTATACATTACAAGTACACGTGTTTGATGCAGAATTTGACATGCTTACCAACAATCTTAGTCATTTTGTCCAAATTTGTTTTCATGTCATTTATTACTTCCATCTTTGCCCTCGTTCTGTCTTTCTCCTTTTCTGCCTCGGCAACGCTCGTTCCAAAATCCAACCATATACTCAACATACGGGGCATCGACTGGTAGATGTAGTTGCACCCGTAGCGTAATGACTTGCCATAGAAATTCACCATATTCACCTGAATATCTCTGGAACCATTTTAAGAACAGCGTAAATTCTGGGGAAAACTTATTCCACTAACAAGAGATATGGTACAATGACACACAGCATAAACATGTTTCATTTAAACCTCATATAGTAGAACACAATAATACTAAAGTCTCTGCATGTTGTAATGCAGTAAAATAAACTTATTATAGAACTAACTCTGTAAGATGTCTCAGCACTAACACAAGTGACATGTATTCATGAGAAACCCCATTCAAGTTCGAAATGAAGATGTCTCAGCACTAACACAAGTGACTTGTATTAGTGAGAAACCCCATTCAAGTTCCAAATAATGAATTCTGAAGTTTTCCCCACAATTCAGAATGGTAAACTTAAACAGCCCGTGACCACTTTCTCCCACATCAGTAACAGTTCGCCACATCACTGATTTATACTGCGCTTTGGTATCCCTGATCCTATCATACAGGTACAATCTGTTGCCTGGCTACGCAACACAATATACTGAATTGTTACGTTGCCACGGTTAGATCAGAAGAAGATGTAGAGTAAATTATTGGGCATATAATTAATTAATATAATTTCATTTAAATGTGTGCATCAGTCTGTAAATGTATCACCTCTACAAATTAAGATGACAAATATGTGAGTACATGCAAAGAATAATGATAGCAAATACAAGGATGCTTTTATCATTAGTAACTGCTATTCTAAAATTCATTTAACCCTTTGACGGCAAACTTTGTTTAAATACTGTTTATTTAAGCACTGAGTCCGTACCTGAAAGAAAATATAGCACTTCTCCATTACAGAGAAGGAATTTTAGTACGATGTACGACAAACAGCAGTTCCTTCAATTTAAATGTCATAATGTACGACACACATACACAGTATTTACTACGTTACATTGAGAAGCTTAAACATTCACCACAAATTTTAACAGAAGAGACAAATTGCAGTCTCCCAAATAAGTACACATTATGCCATACAAAGGAGATGTACCCTCCTCTGGTGTTTCTCTCCTCATCTGTCATCACGCCCAACACGCGGTCATAATACTGAGCTAGACACACAGAACTCTTCTCCCATTGGCGGCATGCATCAACGGCCTGTTTGTAGTTACAGATGTTCACATCCATGTCAACATTCACAGTCTCATCATTGTATGTAGCCATGAGCAACTTGGCCTACGTAAAACAGCCAACACAAGACAATATTACTATAAAGCAGTAATTGCTAATGTTTTGTTACATATCATGCTGGACATAACATATATAAATGTTAGTACACTTCCACAGATATGTGGCGAGGGTGGAATACAAAAAATTAAACTCTTACAGAAAATGAGCACACTCAGTGAAAAAGTGTCATTAAATACTCCCTGCAACCACATTCAGATAGACTGTAACCCCAGGTGTCACACTGATACCGTACAACAGGTAGTTCTTTTACATTATTTCTCAATGACTCAGACTTCAGGAACTTTAACTAATATGTGGATGCAACGATGCCCTTATACCGTGATCTACTAAAGTATCAAGAAACCAATTTCTAGACACGTCTACAAGACAGGGAAAAAAGTACAAAAGCTCTCAAGTACTACAGCTGGGAATCACAATTAACATACAATAATTTTTATATGCTCAGACCGGAAGAAAGTTCGACAATTCACAAACCAACCAATTAACCTTCAAAAGTAATGATGACAGATGCTTTTTGATTTTATACTGAATAAACATTAATTAATAGATTCGGCACAAACTTGGAATTGTTATAGATAGCGGCAAAGAGGTGTAATTTCACTTGTGTTATCTGAAATAATTGCACAACCCAACTTAAAAATATATAGAATAAAAATGTGTGTTACCTCAGCACATATTTTAGAGTCACTTTGACCTGTAACAGCAAAGCACGAGTCAGGGTTCTCAACGTTAGTAAAGTGCTCCTCCAGACCGCGACGTAATGTCAAGAAGGCCGGATCTTGCTCTCCCTTCTCCCAGTAAAGTTTGGCTTTCTCAACAAAGAGTTCCTTTAGGTGGAACTTCTCAGCATTAAGTATATACGTGTATGCTTGCTGGTAGAGTCCGTCCCTGGGAAATATACCACAGGGACAGTGACACTCATCAAAATAATTATTTTGAAGCTCAGAGGACAGTAGTCGCAAGAGAATGGATCATCAAACCTTTGCTGGGGTATACAAAATGTTATGTGCATTCTGTGGTTAATGGCTCACATATTGAAGTTGTGTAATAAAAAAAAATAAAGCTGTCCCACTATGCACCATGTATGCGCTTGGGAGGGGGGAGACGGTATAGCTCCTACTCTTTCTTGATCTCGGCACTAGATGAGGGTGAGTGGTTAGCATCATGCCCTGGCCGCGCTTTAACCCCAGGAAAGGACCCCGGTACCCATTGGATAGGAGGTTGGGTGGGCTCCAGAGCTGGTCTGGATGCAAATGCTAGAAGAAAATCATCTGCCCCCGTCAGGGATCGAACCGTGGTCATCCAGCCCATAGCTAGTGACTATACTGACTGAGGTATCCCAGCTCAAGTTGTGTAATACCATTACAAAAACTCTTTTGAGGAGAATAAAATAAACAACAGTATCATTCACAATAACTTTTTTAGATGGCAAACCAAATAAAAGTACGAAGATGGTTGTCTTCTGGGTTGTTGCGCTGTGCAGTCTGGTAGAAGTTTACTGACGCTTCAGAGGTCCTTGCTACCTCCATCATTAGGGACCTGATGATGGGGGGGCAAAAAACCCTTTGAAACGTCGGTAAACTTCTATCAGACTGCACAGTGCAACAACCCAGGAGACAGCCATCTTCAGACTCACCACCATGAAAATCTCAAATCCTACAAATAAAAGTATAATACACAACAAGAACCTGTTTTTACTAATCTTTACAAAAGATCTCTATTAATTTGTGTAAACGATTTACTTTATCGAGAAAGCTGGACACATAGCCCTACAGACAGCGTCTCTGTATAAACAAAATGGGTCCTTGGATGCTTCAATTTCAAGTTACGGCCTGTAGAACCACCTAACTTAAACCCACTGGATTTTTATTTATGGAGCCATCTTAAGATTATCGCATATGCTATGACAGTTCATGGTGTGGGAAAACAACAGAGGATAGAAGTCAGATGTGAGATAATTCATAACATGCCTGGAATTTACTGCGATGTTTTAGCACTGATAGTTTCAAATATAGACATTGTCCCAATACTACGATAACATTATTAGCTAAATCTGGCTGCCAGCCCTTTCCATGCAACAGAGGTTAATGGTACATGATCTGAAGCTTTCACAGCAACTGAGTATAATAAATTCTTCTTGGAAGAAGCATCTTCGTCCTTGTCCTCAGGGTACTGTACCCTGAAGACAAGGATGAAGATGGTTCGCGAAACGTTTGTGTTTTCTTCACTGAGCCACCTTATACGGCTGGTAGCCCGAGAAGAATTTATTAGACAAAGGTTAATGATTTACCCTCATTGCATGTGTGTGTGTGCAGTACTCTACAGAAAATGTCTGCGGTTCTTCTATAGCCAGAAAGGCTGCAAATGAAATAAAGATACATAAAACGTTACAAAAACTCACTTTCGAGCTGTTACGGCACTCTGAAGCCAGCACCGTCCCACTTCTTTATCCAGATATTTGGCAACTTCAGGAAGTTTCTCTTCTATTAGGCTTTTCGCAAGAACAAGAACGGTCCTCCGCATAGAGAGTACGGGCTCTTTGGCGCGTGAGAACTGCTGAACATTCTTGAGTCTGTCCTCCCATTCGTGCATAAGCTGTTCCACCAGTAACATGCACTGCTGGTCATTACTAACATTCTTTAATATTGCCTGGACAACTTCTTCTGTTCTCTGCATCTCATTCAGTATATGCAATCTGTAATCAATATACAGGGTGATTCAACAGTCTCCATAAATAGGACAATCACCTAAGGGAACGCATTCGAAATGCAATTACACGCTTAACACCAGATGTGTTAACGCAAGTTCAAAATGAGTGGGAGAGATGCATTCGTATGTGTTTTCAAAGGAATGGCAACCATGTAGAGCATATTTTGTGAATAGAGTGACAGTTTGTTAAAAAAGTAACCATTTTCCTCTATGTATGAAGACTTTTTTATCACCCTGTAGTGTTACTTTACAGGGGGAAGATAACATATGAACCGACTGTAAGTCACTAATTTATTTTGGAAAGTCTCACACTCTAGCGTCAGTTACTGATTACTTCTTTACTCTCACCTCAAACTGAAAAAATAATCTCAAGTGTCTAGCTAGAAAGAAAGCCTGTTAGAATCAAAATCAAATCAAGACAAATCATATTTTCACACACAAATACTGAATTATGAATCAAATCCCACATTATTTACTTATTCTGGTTCTCTAAACACACAACTAACATTTCTTAAAATCCTTGCAATTTATGTCGCACCATCAGAGATAAAAAAGATCACATCCCACAAGACGACAACATATACAACAGGGAAAACCGTTTCGTTCTGTCACACCCGGGGAAATGAAATGTCATGTGATGTGTATGTGCTTAACCTCACCTAACAATGCTCTGGTACTCTTCCTGATAAGAGCCCTTCTCGAGAGAAACTGTCCGCAGTCCATCCAGCAACTCCATCCGCATGCACTTGAGGTGCTTGTGAAGAACTGTACTCCTGCCAGCTTGAAAATGGAGCAGGGCCCTTCCGGCTTGCACGCCCCACGCCTTGTTTTCTGCAATTTCAGGCGATGAAAGCAGACTTCCCAGGTCATCAAACATCTGCAATCGCCAGAAAGCTTCTGCTTCAAATTCCTGCATCACTCTCGCCATTTCTGGCCTGTAAGTACATCATAAAATTATAATAATAATAACAACAAGAAACATTTGAGAAATGTAAATTCATGCAAAATGTAATCCCATCTTGATACACAGCACTTCTTGATTCTGAACTAAAATTATTAACGTACACCCATCTCAAAACGTAAAACTGAAGTAAAATTTATACGAGGTACGTCATGTATTCTGAAACTAGAATTATCTCTGTAGTCACCACAGAATTTTCTCTACAACTGAAAGAGACGTTTATCCAAACAGAAGGATTTGAGGTTCTCATGGCAGTGAGTAAGAAGATGACTGTCTTCTGGGTTGTAGATCCATGTAATTGGGTAGAAGTTTACCACCGTTTCAGACGTATCCAAACACAATGTAACAGAAATATCCTTACAGATTGTTTTGTTCAAAGTTACATTTACAAGGTTCACCCCAAAAGTAATGCTGCCAGCGCTACACTACATCTGTTTCTCAAAAGAACAGAGCTGCCAACCGAAGGTTCAGAAAATGCTAAATATAACACACACTGCAGTCAGCACTATCTTGACTGAATTAGTTGAAACCTGTTCCATACCTTTCCGAAACAATTCCTTGTGCAATTCTGAGTGACGTAATCGGCTGATCCAGTCCGAGATAACATTGTACCATCCCCTTGTAGAAATCGGGACCCCTTGTTTCATCCTGTGCCAAGCGTTCGTAACAAGCCACAGCATCCTGAAGACAAATAAGGATTCAATGATCATCTTCTTAGCATGCGTACTTCCAGAATTTTAAAATATTTTAAGGTCCATTATGTATTTCCAGTGACTTGTAGATCAACTGAATTATTTTCCAACAAGCACAACAGTGTAACAGTACTAAAACATAACAAAACTAGCAAAAATAACAAGGTTTAATTCTCTGAAGCCAAAATGTATCTAAACATTATTTATGAGTTCAGCCCATACCGCAAAGAAATCACAACTCTTAACCATTACAAAGATCAACTTGGTAATCCTGTTTAAGAAAATAAATGCTGTTTACGGTGAGAATTGTGCAAAACCTACATATATACAAAATAAACAGTTAATGCTTGTTGAAGCAGGTGGGACACATACTTACCACTGGTCTTTAAAGGGTCAAAATAGCACTTACGTTGGGTAACACTGGTACTCTGAACTATTAAATCATGAAGATTGCTGTCTTCTGGGTTGTTGCGCCATGTAGTCTGGTAGATGTCCACCGTTTTTAGAGGTCCATGCTGCCAGCATCATCGCCCTGATGATGGAGGGAGCATGGACCTCTGGAACGTTGGTGGACATCTACCAGACTACACAGCGCAACAACCCAGAAGACAGCAATCTTCAGACTCACCGCTGTGAAAACCTCAAATCCTACATATTAAAATATGTATCCTCACCCTCTCCTAACAGGTAAGATCCATAAATCTATATATCTATCTACCTATATACGCGTGTATGTATATATATATATATATATGACCTACAAATTTACACAGTTCTTTGAAAAGATGCAAAAACTATGAAGTACCAACAAGAAACAGGTTTGTGGAAGGACAGTTATATGAGCAGACATCCACAGTTGGTAATACATTTCAACAACATCTCTAAAATTTGACACAAAAGTTTTCAGCTTCACAAACTGAATTTAAAACAAGTGACACTTAACGGGTACTGAATTTTTACCCATATTTCATAAAATCAAGAAATTCAAAAACATACCTCACTGAACATTTATACGAAAGCACATCACCAAAACTATGAGACAGCAAAGAAACTCCCCAAATAATGGTACATATAATAAGATAATTTTCATATAAATTACCTGTAATTGTCCAGTTACTTCGTGGACAATTATAAGTTCTTCAAGAGATGGCTCCTGCTCTCTTGTTGCCATTATCCCATGGACAGCATCTGGCTCATTCAAACGTGCATATATTTTCTGCAAATGAATCATTTCTGATACATCTCAAATGTCATAAAATATTAAAGGAAACTAAACCAGTATCCAAATATTGTGGGTTCCAATGTTGTCTGCTAAGGGCGTTACATTTTACTTGCACGATTCATACACACAGACATAAATTATATACAGCCTGTTAAAAGTGTAAAAAATGTACTTATAAATATTGTCTTGGATCTCACTGACATTTGAATTACTGCCTTAAGTTTAAGGTAAACTAAATACATGAGAATGAAATGGGCATGTCAGTATTCTTTCTTTAAACGTAGACTCATGAGCGTGTATCAGATCAGTGCATATTTCATTCATATTTTTTTTTGTAGTGTTCTGTCTGAGGACAGGTCCATGTGAACAGGATCCTTCCATCCTTTTCTCGGACTGGGACCTGTTCATATACGTTCTTGGCAGATGATCCAGAAGTGGTTTGCCATTGCCTTCTTCTGTGTGTGAATGGAGTAATTATTGGGATGCCACGGAGAATCCGGGGAAGCCCCCGGAGGAAAACTCCGTGTTGCCTAGACCACGGCCTTGCCCAACACAAGTTATAAATTCGGGCACCGCCGGGAATCGAACCCGAGACCCCAGGACTACAAGGCCAGCGTTCTAACCGCTAGACCACCGTGGCGGCTTCATTCATATATAGCTTACTAAAGTTTGTAATTGTTTTACAGATCTTATTAGGTCACATGTCACTGACATGTCCCACTTTCATAACTACAGCTGCATTCTGGCGACTGTCTTCAACTACTGATGTTAACTAGAAACTGGAAAATCTACTGCTCTCACACATACTTCTACAAAATATTCTTTCTAGATCTGGGTATGTGTGTTTGGAATAAATAACCTAAAACACAAAATATACTCCTTGTTACTGGATTAAATAATTGACAATTTATCTGAAACCATAAAGAAATTGCATGTTTCTTCCTACATTTGTCCTGGCCAAAACAGGAAATATATTTTTACTTAGATTCCTTGCAGCTGTACCTTCTAATGGGAGATTCTTTCATGAAATGTTTCAGTAAGATAAAGCATCTCTTCAAACATACCATAAAGAGCCATAGCTGCTCTTGAAACTGCTGTGGATTCTTACTGATAAACATTTCCAGGTACATCAATGCTCGTGGATACTCGCCACATTCAATATTAGACAAGGCGATTTTCAAAGCAGAAATTTCACTGACAAACGCTGCAAATGACACAAATACAGTAAAATGTCATAAACCGAAAGACACACAGACATGATACTGCAATAACACATGCGTACATAAGACGGCAATTACTGATTTGAATCCTTCGGGCAAACGTACATACACTGGCTTTTATAAGAAAAGGTTCTACCACGGCACTGAATGACTGCTTGACGCACTTAAACACATGCCAAGAAATAATGGCATACAGGATTCAACTGTATGATTATCTGCACACAAGCCCATACTCAGATTTGAACACAACCTTTAAATAAAAATTCCTATAAACAAAAAAATCACAGAAAAATAAAAGAAACACCTGGATCCTTTGCACTTCTAGCCTCGCCAGTGCAACAAAAATAAGTGATAATGTGAATGATAATTTCTTTATGTTTGTTAAGAAAAAGTGACTAGATTGCATATGCTTTACAGACAAACAACAATTACACATTCTATTTCAAATAACGAGCCGGGGTAGCTTAGTCAGTCTAGTGACTGGCTACGGACTGGACGACCAGGGTTCGATACCTGACGGAGGCAGAGGATTTTTCCTCTAGCCTCCGTGTCTAGACCGACTCTGGGGCCCACCCAGCCTCCTATCCGATGGCTACCGGGGTCATTTCCAAGGGGTGGTAATGCGCGGCTGGGGCGTGACGCTAACCACTCACCCTTACCTAGTGCCAAGGTTAAGAATGAATAGGAGCTATACTGTCTCTCCCCCCAAGCGCCTACATGGCATGCAGCGGGCTGCTTTACTTTTGCTTTTTACTTTATTTAAAATATCACAATCGACATATTTTTTATGCATTTCCAGTTGCTCATGGTACAAGTTCCACATGAAAATTTTGAAACATATAATTAATATATAACTGCGTGGTTTCAAGGATTATTTTTGTGCAAATAAAATATATGTTTAGAATAGAAAAGAAGAAACATGTGCAGACAAGAACTTGCATATAGTCTTCACAGCAGTGCTAGTCTGCAACACTACCGACTCATCTTCCACCAAATACATACGTCCAAGCAAAGTACAGTGACCACCTTCGATGAACCTAATGGCATGTTTTTCTTCAATTCAGGCAGACATGTTGGTATTTTTGCTTAATAAACATCTGCCTAGAATAACTGAAATCAATGGAAGGCACAGAAACTCCACATACGGAAAAATACAAGCAGATTAAGAACTACTGGAATTATGACACCAGCTATATGCTTACATCACTTCCAGTTTCAGAATTCGAAAATGTCAAGTGTTTGATTTTTGTTGCACCGGTATACCAGATTGTTACTTGAGAAGTTAAGATTGTCTGTGTTGTATCAATTCAAATTAATATGGTTTCTAATGCAACGACAAATGATCATAATCTTACAGCTATTTCGCTGGAAGACTGAATGTTTAAAATCAAAATAATTCCATTCAACAAGATATGATTATCAAACATAACAAACCTTTCAGGGCAACATAAACAGGATCTTCTCTTAGGTTAGAAGATAGGTAATGAGCAGAAATCCACTCTCGTGTAAAACGCCAAACAAAATCTATCAGAGTGAATACGGTTTTAGCACACATCATACGGGTGTCTGCATTGAGGCCTTCCGTCGCAACCGTTCTGCTTCCTGACAAATGAATAGCATATGACGGTTGCTCATCATCATGGCTTGGTTGTGGTATGTGAGAGCTGGTATCCATCACAGCCAGCATCTCTTCCAGAAAGCACTTTATATTGACTGGTGAGGCAGACAGAACTGCATGTACTGAAATGATTGATTAGACAAACACATATTTGTGAAAACCTTCTAATTTCCTGTATTGAATAAACTAAATACTCATACTCAAATTTGTATTGCTTTTGTTGATTTTTTTCACAAATTTTATGTAGCAAAATGGTAACCATTTTATTGAAACAGCTTTATCTGATAAATAGCAGAAAATTATCCACTTAATGTTACATGAACCTCTTCCTCAACTTGCACACACATGAAGTCAATATTTCTGTATGCACAGCAAATTATACCTAACTGTCAAGTTTTGCAAAAAAAAAACAGCAAACGTAGAACTCGGTAACATACATAGAATGTACGGCATGAAGAACAGCAGCGTTTGTAAATCTCGTTTCAGACTAATTGCACAAGCATCAAACACTGCTTGAACACAGGGGCCAGAAATACAATCCAACAGCACGAACGTCCAATTGCACGCCCAGTCATTTAACGTCATGCCATACTTCGATCTGCAAGATAAATTTAATTTTAAAATGGAATTTTAATATAAGATATTAATATCTGTACTCATACATTAGTGGGACTGGGATGTTTAATTTTAAATATTCATTAGAAAAATAAACATATGCACTTTACGAACCCAATTACGGGATGAGGCATTTGTACATTTGGTCCTATAGAATTCTTATAACATGAAGAAAGTAGAGGAGTCATTATCTCTTGAACTTCTCTGGGAAATGAACCCCAAATGTTTTTCTTTGGTGACTTTTCATCTGGTGATATTTTGAACAGTTTAAGTAATTCCTGAAAACAAACAAGTAAATAAGGTGAGAATTATATGTTCTATTAGATGGCTGTCTTCTGGGTTGTTAAAATATCACCCTGATGATGGAGGCAGCAAGGACCTCTGAAATGTCGGTAAACTTCAACCAGACTACACAGTGCAACCCAGAAGACAGCCATCTCCAGCACTACATCCTGATTATTCATTCCAAAAAGTATTAACTCCGACTAAACCACAAACAATATTGTCATTTTAAAGGCAAAGATCGTGGCTCTCTCATGGCAAAGAAACATTTTATTACAAACTCAACAGACCTACCGCTGCAATTTCATTTACTACCAAGGGTATCAGAAAATAAAACTCAATTTTCAGAGAAGTTTATATTTCCTAATCTCCAATCTTGAACCAAGAGTTCATCACAGCCTTTCCCATTACATAAATTCCATGACGCAGCCCTCCTTCAAATGCAGGTTCTTGTAGACACGGTAATTTACGTTTAGGTTTCATAAAAAACAGAATTTCTTGACCAGCTGAGTGACTACTAGCTTCACAAGAAGAACTCCCCTCCACAAAGTTAATCAGACAAAATTTACCTGCATTGCCAGTGAGAAAGCATCCATAGTCTGTGTCTCTCTGCATTGCTGAAATGACCGCGCAAGATGAATAAGAGCAACTGATATGAATCCATCTGTATCAGCGCCAAGTGGTAGGGCTTCTTTCTCTGTAACGTAGAGCAATTAACTCGACACTGCAAGCTTTGTTTGTCACGGACAGTCCAGCTATGTAATAATATTTAGAAGTTGATGGAAGACTCTCGGATTACAAGCCAACATCTGGTGGCTGAATGGCGAATAAACCATATCTTCTTCTGCCAACGTTTCAAGAGCCATCTCTGCTCTCACCCTCAGGGCTGCTGCGTAACAAATCTGGTCCTTTGTAGCGCACTTGCCGATGGGAGCAGAGATGGCTCTCGAAACTTTGGCAGAAGAAGATATGGTTTATTCGCCATTCAGCCACCTGACGCGACTTGTAATCCAAGTCTTTCATCAACTTCAGTCGCCGTGAAAGCTTCACTTTATACAATATTTAGAAACTCTAGCTTGGACACACAATGACCAGGAAACAGTAAAAAGTCAAATGTATTACCCAATGTATTTTATGATCCTCTTTGTATAAAGAAGACCACTTGTGGGGTTTGGGCAGAATACAAGGGGTTTGCGTAAAAACTAATAATTTAAGCAGCCATTCATAGTTAAATACATTTCTATCAAAATAAAATCTTCTCGGGCGATCAGCCGTGTCAATTGCTTAAATGAAGAAGAGTCACGTCGCCGCAAAAGCTCAAATCATATTTCTATCAAACTTACCACTTTGTAACTCTCTCCAAGACAAGAGACCAGGGTCCAGAGCCCCAACAGCTCCAATGCAATCTGCACAAGCCAATCGAATGTTCTCATCTTCATCACGACAACCCGACAAGAGAGCATCCATTATCTGCAATAATAATATTTTATCCTCACATAATGGCAAACAGTACACTGAATTTAATAACCATTTCTGTGTTTCTAAGTATTTTACAATGTCCACACATCGGTAATTTAAAGAAAGTTGTTACAAACACGCAACAAAATAATATACACCGCAGCTGAGGCTCTGCGACCCCCCACTACTACCGAACTCCCCTCTCTCGGCTTACACGTCGCACATTTAGGTGCCACAACTACTCGCACGACCTTTACATTCAATAGCTGACAAATATAATTCTTCAACCTATTCAAAAAACCGTAAGAATCTGCAAGCAAATGACCATTGTCATGTTTTATCAAGTTTCTTCCAGGGGAATAACCTTTCCTGAATTCATTTATGCCTCCTTACAAGTCTCGTATTATTGATCTTACTGTTTGTTCAAGCTCATTAATACTGTCTTTAACCTTTATCTTACTAGCGTTCCTTGTCTGGGACGTAAGTTGTGTATTCAGCCCTACGAACGTTCCTTGTGCGGAACGCAAATCTTGTAATACTGTAAGTAGACTTGGCTACGTCATTTGGCCTGTTTTAGAGGCTGCAAACATCGATTCACTTTCTCTAGGGTTTTTACAAGGTCAGCCTGAGCTGTCAACCTAGGAACTGTAACCATAAACAGCAATAAACATTGTTATTGTCAAGTGGGTTTCATTTTGAGACCCCCTATTCAAAGTTTCTCACATTCTTCCTCATGATGGGTGAAAAGAATGTGTATCCACTGAAGTAGTGGTACCCATTGTAGAGGAGGCTGGGTGGGCCCCAGAGCCGGTCTGGACGCAGAGGCTAAAGGAAAAATCCTCTGCCCCCGTTGGGGATCGAACCCCGGCCGTCCAGCCCGTAGCTAGTCACTATACTGACTGAGCTATCCCGGCTCAGGTAGCCAAAACAATATTTCTGTGTGGTCATTAGTTCACAACCATGGCTTCTACCGTGTCAAATAAGCTTCCAAAGAAGAAAGTTACTAAGGCCTATATAGGCAATTAAGTTATTAACTGCATTTTTAAAAAACTCTATGTATTCTCTGTTCTATTCGAATAAATATGGCTTTTATTTCGTCAATTTATCATGTTTACTTTAGATAATATTAAAGTTTTCCGTAAACGTGCACAAAAGTTTAAAAACCTGCAAAAGAAACTCCGTAGGGCTGCCACCACTTTGCCATTTAAATCCCCATCGTTTAAAGGTTAATATAACCCCAGTCTTCAGCCCTGTCAGTTCTACTACCTTCAAGTATTACCTCACTAAACATGGCTTGAATTCTGAAACCATTGCAATTTAGCCCACTTCCTTGTACCCAATAATTTTGAACTCTTCACCAGACCACAGTTTACATTGTTTTAACTTGTAATGACCTAGTCACTTTCTGGCAGAAAGGTTGGCATTTTCCCAAGTCCTATCGATGTCCATATTATCATCCAAGTTCTCCAAAACTGCAAACCTGTTTGACATTTTTGCCTGATACTGGTCTGCAACTTCTGCATCATTTAGGTTCCTGAAGTCAAGTATCAAACATCTGTGCTGTTTGTTTACTTATTGACAGCCTCTCCCTAAGTCTCACAACCACCAAATACTCGTCAGTGTCACAGTTAGTCCCTCCAAAAGATCAGCCATCAAGTACACTTGACTGTTGACTTCCGTCTATCAAGACATAATCTGTCTGTGTGTCTGTCCATCACGAGAAGTTCATGTGTGTTAATGAACTGTGAGATATTATCAACAAACTCTGCCCTTTTAACCACTGATATGATTCCCTTATATACAAGAAAACCTGTTCCTGAGTGGGTGGTGATCAGCATTCCCATTTCCACAGAAGAGTATACAATCATCTCTTGGTTCGGTGGCACCCTCATCCTATCTGACTTCCTGTACTCCCACTACGTCTAATGTATTTGGTGGTGGTGGTGGTGGTGGGGGGGGCCTCTGGTTCAAATCTCAACCCAAAGACTGACTGTCCTGATTGAGGTTTTTCATGGTTTTCTCAGTCCCTTCAGGAAAGTGCTGGGATATTACGCCATGACCACTTCATTCCACATCCTTTCTGATACATTACTCACTATCACGCTCTCATTCAACGCTATGTAGTCTCAGCCACTGGAAGAGCACCATTAAACGAACTATAAATAAGCCTTATAATTTGTTAATTCTCTTGATACTGACAAATTTTATCGAAAATTCCCATTACAGTTATACTGATGTATACAAACTTAAACGACTTTATAACGCACACAAAGTGAAATGTATCTGTCTACAGTTAAAGCATAGAAAACACATATGTAACATTTAATAAGAACTAAAATTGTATACAGTAATACATAACCTCTCTTATTATGGGTTCTACGTGGTCCTTTTCCCCAATACAAGCTTGAAATAATTCTTTCTCTGTCTGCAGTAAAGATGACAGATGCAGCAAACCATACAGCTGAACGTCAACATTGTCATGCTTAATGGAGGATGTAATTACTGCCAGTCTGTCCATGAATGTAGGAGGCCTGGAAATAAAACAATAACATAACTCACTTCTATTTTGGCGCCATTGACAAACATTTAGGTGCTGCATTTAACAACATTCATTCAATTGTAAGCAACAAACATTAACATGTAAAATGAAATATGTGTTTGATAATGAGAATAATGAAAGGCCTATTAAAATTGAAGCATAACAGGCTACTTAACCCTTCAACGTGGGAATTTAAATTCCGCGCTGCTTGACGAGGAGTGGTGGCCATTTAAATTTTGCTCTAAAACACTTTATTTATCATAACGTTTGAACTATATAACATATAATGATCAATTCTTCACTGAAATCCTCTTAAAAGATGGTTTTATAATTTCAGCGTATAATATGAACATCCTGTGTGTGACAAATGCTAGTAGTCGATTAGACGTTGAGAGTTGTATGTTATTTATTGAAACGTCAGCAAAAGTCAACACTACCAAAATACATAGTTTTTATCTTTTTCTAGCGGTTCCTGCACATGACGCAATGTCTTTGAGGCATTGAATTTCTTTCCTGTGTCAATAATACGCGGGAGTAAATATGTCTGCGCCAGCTGATATTCTGACAGCGAACTGAAGGCCACATATATGCATCATACTTAGCAGTTATAACCGTCTCTTTCTAAGAACTCTTCTGATTATAGACTTCTGAGTATAGGGGTGCTAAAATTGTTGATATTTGAAGACACAGATAAACATAACGGTATATCTATATATATATATTATGGAGCCCCTTGACCGTTTCAGATAATTTTTTTTCCTCTCTACTTCGCTGGAGCAGTTATCGTGTCATATGAGACTGAGAGAATGAGTTATCTTACCTCTACAAACAAACAGCTCAGTGTTCTTTGGAAGATTGTGTAACCTCTTAGGTCACGCATTTATTCACAGACTAGCCTTTAGAGATCGAAGAATGCGACGTTGCCAATACATGATCAGAAAGAGCATTTCTTCCACACCAGATCAACTACAAACATCATATATCAGTCGTTATTGTTTCCATAATTATGGGCTTTTGAAATTAGGCTTAACAGCAGACCGGGAATTTAAATGCCAGGGCGTCACAAGACGTCCAACCACGGTGAAGGGTTAAGTAACACACGCAGAAGTCGTTTGCCTTCATGATAAGCAAATATTGTAAAAATATTATACTTCAATCTTATAAACTGATACAGTACTTCAATAACTGCCATCTCATTTATGCGTACATAAATGAAACAGAACGACTTACCCATTCTCATTAATGACTCCCTGAATTTCCCTATATATATCAATAATGGGTTCGCTCGGCTCGACAAAATACAATTCTTTGAAGAAATGTTGCAAGATTTCACTATTTTGAACTATCAGGAAAGCAAAGATGCTTCCGATCTCAACAGCAAAATCATCGAGCAGTGGCAGGAGAGAAACAAATATTGTGCTAAGAAGAGGTCCCAGATGAATTACCTCCACACTGAAAAATAAAAATTATTACATTTTGAAATAATCATACACCCTTTAAAATAACCAAACAATTTACATGACAATGTAACAACCAGAGCATTTGCACATCAGTTGTAAATATCGACCACAAACAGAATATGCCAAAGACATAATTCAAGACTTACTTTGGAAAACAAAAAATCTCAAGTCCTCCATTTTAGAACACGATATAGCAAACATTATGCTACAAAAATATCCTGTATGATCATATTTGAAAATATTCATTTCTGGAATTACAAAGTTATATAAAAATATGACACGTTTCTTAATATTCAACACACAAAAAAATAATCTGTTGAAAGAATAAACAGAAACAGTCAATTTTGAAACTACTGTTTGCGCTCATGGTTTAGGCGTACACGCTTAGGAATTTATACTTTCTTGTATATTTGATACTACAGCCTAGGAACAGCGTATTCACGTGCCCAGTACATGTGCAATGCTCTGAGATATTATATGATGATGTAGTTAGTAAATATGGGTTAATGTATAAAGTCTTCATGTTTACTTTTGTTGATACTGTGTTCTGACGGACAGGAGTTGTGAGATCAATACTGCAATAAGAACGTGTGTTAGTGCGATTACGTCACTGTGTTATTACAGCCACGCCTGTATGTTTGCAACAGATACAATCATGAAATGGCCATAGACTAATAAACATATGTATTTAAAGTTATAATTAATCATGTATTACTCATCTCTCTTAACAGATTTTACATTTCCATTCAGACTGTGTACATGTTTATCTCTCCTTTTGTGCATGCAGAAAATACAAAGTAGAAGAAGACGCTTAATTCTGTGATGCTGCGGGTACAACAGCGAGGTTCAGGCTCAGGCAAATCATGACGCAGCATGTGTGTGGGTAAAGTAATAAGAAACTGTGTGAAGCTTACAAATATGCACAATGAGAAACTTTGGTCGAAAGAAGAATGTAAAAACGCATAGCCAAGATCTCAGGTACGATCACTGAATTTGTGAATATCGAGGAATGACCGTACTTCATAATGCAAACCTGTGAACAAACGCATCCCACGCTGCTACATTCAGATCTGGAAAGGTACTGTAGTTGAGTTTCAGTGCTGTACGAAGTGTTCCAAGAACCTTAAACCTAACGGGAGTGATGTGTTTTGGCCCCATCAGGCGAATAATTTCTGGCAAAGAAGATAAAGCCTTTTTCTTCACTGATTCAGCAACCTTTCTCGTAACCAGCTTACTGTCAAAGAACACCAGAACACCCAGAAACCTTGGTTGCAGGTAGTCAGCCTGCAAAATGAATTATTATATTGCTGTAGAAGCAAAATTTTATTAAAAACCTCAAGAACACACATTTTAATTAACCAGATTTCTTTTAATTCATAATTCAGTTCACTCAGGGGTCCAGAAATACAATTTAAAATCTAATGTATAGACTGATAGCTTTTGCGGCAACTGAAATTGATGAAAGACTCTCGAGCTACAAGCCGCGTCAGGTGGCTGAAAGGTGAACAAACCATATCTTCTGCCAACGTTTCAATAACAAACTAGGCTCTCATCCACTGGGCTACTGCGTAACAAATCTGATGGGAACCCATCGGCAAGCCCGCTACAAAGGACCAGATTTGTTACACAGCAGCCCTGAGAATGAGAGCACAGATTGTTCTCGAAACGTTGGCAGAAGATAAGGTTTATTCACAAATCAGCCACCTGATGTGCCTTGTAACCCGAGAGTCTTTCGTCTACTTAAAATATGCTAGCCATACCAGTATCACATTCGGCTTACAGGCGACACATTATATGAGGGGGTTTCATTACTGAAAATTGCTGTGTATATCAAAAACATGTACAACGGGAAATACATAACACACCTGTGGATTATCTTAGTAATACAATATGAGAGGCCTTAAGTTCTAGTCCCTGGAATCAAGATATTCAGGTGAGTCACTGAAACTGCACGAGCAACTCAGTAATCCTGCGCAGAATCTTCTACTGTGGCTGCAGACAGGATGCTGATGACTCTCATAATACTAAAATAAAACTCTGAATATACAAAGACGCACATAGCAATAACACATATAAAGAATATCACCAGTCCTTGCTACTGGTATGCGTTAACTCACGTATGGCATCGGGGAAGAATATTCCTGGAACCTGCCTCTCTCCTAAACAGAATCATATGTTCCCTTACAATTTATAAGTGATTTACACAGATAACCACAACCCACATATATACTTACAATCTGTTCTAAGCTCATGGGATGGTCTGGAACGGCATAATCTGGATCGTCCTTGGCCAACTCACGCAATGCATCAAGCACTCTTTCTTTGTGGCATTCGTAATGTAACAGCAATTCATTGTGAATGACCTATTACAAAAATGTATGTGAGAGCACCTGCACAATGAACTGCTGTATTAAAACTCCTCCATTTTCGAAGCATTTTCTCTATTAAAAAAAAACTAAAGTAAACAGTGACATTAAGATAATTAATATATATCAAATCTAAAACTTCTTGACGATGGTGAAGAGTCAATTGAATAAAAATTTACTTGGATATTATCCATCGTCTAGTAAATCCTATCCCTATCTCCGGACCTTGTCCGGAGATAGGGATTAGTTCTATCTAGTGGGCCCAACTGTGTAGGAACCTGAAGACGGAGATAGAGTCCCATCTCCGAAACGTCGTTTTACGTTTTATATTTACTAGACGATGGATAATAATTAATACAATTCCTCATTGTCTGTAGCTGTATCTAGAGCATATAGTGAATAAGGTACGAAGAACAGAGTAAGCAAAACAACTTGTATACAAATACAAACCTTGGCTGAAGCCGCAAGACGAGCACAAAATAAAGTTAAATACGTCAAACCTGAAACACAGATATGTATATATAAAACTAACCTTAAATGAGCGTCTCTTCAGATCTTTTACGTTGATACCAGTAAAATCCTCCATGTACTTGAGGCATGCTTTAAGAGTCTCCTCATTTTCATATAAGTAGATATGTGGATAGACATGCTACAATAAAACAAATTTGTTTAAAATTACAAAGACTAGTAAAAAATATATACTTGTGGAATAAAAATCTATCAACGATGCGGTATCTCACTATACAAAATTTGAGCTCTATCAGGTTTAAACTACAAACAAATCTTTATTTAATAATTCAACTAGAAGAACTCCATTTTATATACAGTTAGAATGTGTGCAGTAAGATGCATCTTCCTTTGGTAGAAATTTGTCTGTTCTGAAGCATGCTTTAACAGAACCATAATTCCAGCAGTGAAACTGTTCTTGAAAAATTAATCTGCAGTACAAATGACATAATTTCTTTCACTTCCTGGGAGTTATCTGAAATTAAACTGAAAAAATCTGTTCAATCAAGGAAACAAATACCACTAAATTGTCCCACTGCTAATTATTTCGGAACCAACCTGGAATGTTTCCTCTATGAGAGTTTTGGTGTCAATCATCATAGTTTTTCCAATATCATTAAGTAGTTGTGACGTTCCTGGATTCTTTACCATTGCAGGCACAAGATATGGAATTATGTGATGCGAGTCCTTTTGAAGAAATTCTCGAAAACTTGTAAAACCCAATGCTCGAACTATCCTCTGCACCGAAGTTCCAAAACTTAAGCCTCCGATATGATGATTGAGTACCACAAACTGCACAATCAGCTGCGAAAATAACAGGAACAGTGATGACACAGACATCAAAATGTTAACTGCAATTAACTGATACGTACAATCTAATAATTTTTAACGGCTTCTGAGGCAGGAGCCATACCTCAAATCTGGGTTGTACTAAACCCTCAGACACAATTGTCATTAAAAAAATACTGTCTTTCAGCTGCCACCATCTGTAGTAATGAATGAAATAATCCTGGAAACCAACGACACAAGCTGCAAGGAAATCTACGCCACTTGCACCCCTGCTGTATCGCCAAAGTACAAGCCCCTTAACTTGGTTTTACCCGTGTACACACATGAAAACTGCACAGTGAAAGATTAGGATATTACTGTGAACGGGGGATTCACAGTAACCATATCTGGCAAGGCGAGATTTCAGGTTCCCACAGCAGCAAGCATAATGACCTTGATGGAGGCAGTAAGCACCTCTAAAATGTCACTAAACTTCTAGCACACTAGTATTACATTCCTAACCTAAATCATCAGATGTATTTAAAAATTTTAATAACCTTACATTATGTAGGATATGAGGTTTTCACAGCGGTGAGTCTGAAGATTGTTGTCTTCTGGGTTGTTGCGCCATGCAGTCTGGTAGATGTCCACCGATTCATGCTACCTCCATCATCAGGGCAATCACCCTGATAATGGAGGCAGCATGGACCTCTGAAACGTTGGTGGACATCTGCCAGACTACATGGCGCAACAACCCAGAAAACAGCCATCTTCAGCCTTACATTATTATACCTCCTATCAATATTTAAAACTTAAATCCCCAGCGGATGTTACAATATGGAGGGAAGTTTAACGGAAAGTTTTGTATCTAACAATAATAAATTCCACAGTTCATAAAAGCAAACTATAACCTGAATTCTTCAGCTCTCCAGTAATTTGAACAATCACCACTCTACCACAAGCAAACAATATCATCTTTATTTTTAAGGAAATAATTTACAGTGAAACTCACACCACATATTTCCTTCTTAAAGCGTATGTAGATGTCACATGGTCTGACATTATGTGCCTCTGCAATTTCACCAACACTCAATTTGGCAAGTGGAAGCACCATAGAAGACGGATGAGCAATAAACATCAGAAGATTTGCTAAAGTTGGTAACAAGACACAATCCAACGGAACCCTGAAAAAAAAATTCTGTAACGGTACAAACAGAAGTGAAACCACAAATTTTTCTGTATTAAAAACACTAGAATTATTATATCATTAAATATAGACGTATTTAACCTAATTTTATAATGAATAAAAAAAGTTCCTGTAAAATTTAAATTTTGCAGTTTCTAGTTCTTATACTGAACGTTAAAAGTTCTAAAATGTTGCGCCAAATGTTGTACGGCTGGCAGGCAATGTGACATTCACAAAGTGATGCTTATGAATAATGTGCTGGGAAGGATGTTTGGATTAGCGGCAATTTACTTTAAAATTTACCATCAATGCGCAGCACAGTTACGCACTTTTTAACTGGACGTGTGTCATAATAGCACTCTGCTAGAACAATTCTTTATTCAGAGCCACTTCATAGCAGTAACGGCACTGCATGAATTTATAATTATTGACCCTATTAATGTCAACATTACCGAGAAACTGTCAAATTCCAATTGCAAGGTCATAACAATGACATACATTCAAGACCCTGTCAGAGGTGTCGGCAAGCCAAAAGGAACATTAAACACGATAGAACCACATAATACTTCACTCATGTGATTGTAGTTCACCACATCCAGCGTCAGTAATTTGGTGAGGGTACGAGACGGTGGGTGAATGCCGGGGAGTGGCTACCACAGCATTAACATAAGTTCTGAATACAGAAACTGAAGTGTTCTAGTTATGCTAGTAGAAACTGGTGGAAAAATATATTTCTCTCAATAGAATAAAAATCTGTTGACATAACGGAGCAAATGATAGGGAATAGAACAGAGACTGAACAGCGGTTAATTTTGTAAACAGACTCTGATGAAGTAGCAAAAGTGATCTTGATGAACAGGCAAAATGTGTATAAATATTTATGTTAATGTTTATAGATATGAGTGTGAATTACAGGATGAGCCCTTCTCAGGTGCAGTTATTGTTGTCAGTAACATATCTTAGTTGTGTAATGGCGCACAAGATTTTCTGTAGCCTGATATCAATATGTAATACCGAAGCCGACCTTTCTGTTCAATTAGACATTACATTAGCCTGTTATTGGAACCGTGGGTTGCTAGATAATTCAAGTCACACCTCATGCATATTTCTTGAAGCGAGTACTAGGTATTATTTTTAACACAGGCCAAGTTAATGGTACCACATAGTATTTGTTCTCTGTTTGTTGGTGCTCATATGTGACACTGTGTAAATATGTACAAGTCGTATCAATGTTCATGCCTACATATTCTTTCCTGTGTCTAGTTAAAAGCAAACATACTACTGTCCTGTTTGAGTCTGATTCAAAATGTAGTTTTCCATTGTTTTCCAAAGCGGTTGTACCCTTCAGGCACGCTGACATGTCGTTATACTCTTTATTTTGTTTATACCGAATTATTGTTCCGTTTAACTCTGGCTAGTTTACCAAGCGTGGGAGGAGAGATTAGTATTCCAAATGCTTGTTCACTTGTACTCAAACACCCATCTATCTTGGGAGCACGGCACAAATAACAGAATCACAGACGATGACCTCGGCCTGTCTGCTGATGACGTGGCGAGAGGGCGATGGTTCATGCTTACAACCTATTTAACATCTCCCTTAATATTATCCTCCCATTTATTTCTCAAGTCTTCTTAGTGAACACTTTCTAAAAGGGTTCACCAACAAAATCCTGTATGTACTCATCTTCCCTGATCCTAGCTACACGCTCAGCCCATCACTAAACTAAACCAGATGCTCCAACAGCTACGAATATGATGGGACTCACCTGCCAAGTGATCTCACAGTAAAAATGATGGTGCGCTGGAGTTCACGGTCTCCTGCTGTTAAACTTTCAAAAACTACTTTTGTCATCTCTTCAACGCAAAATGACAGCAATGGAATGGACTGAGTTAACTCCACTTTGTCTTTCTGACTGAGAGGGATGTGTTCCTCAAGCAAAGTTTCAGATTCTGACTGCTTTTCCTCCACCCACTTCGGATTGAACACAAGACACTTTGCATAGGAAGCAAAACTGAGCCTTACAGACACAGCTTGATCTCGGAGGTAATGAAGCCAGTGTTTTGGCATCTCAGGCTGATGAAATGAAGAAATGTGGGTGGACAGCTGTTGCAGAGCATTTGCCATTGACAAACGCACATTCTCATCTTCTGAATGAACCAAGTCCAGACATCTCAAAACCTGGTTTTCCATCTGTTGCAGGTAACCCAATCCAGAAGCCTTGTACAATTTTCTATCAGAGTGACAATCGACACACAGAAGCTTGTAAGTGACTTTGGACATCTCCACTTTCCTGAAAAATTTTCCGACATTCACATTTCAGAAAACTTCTAACTGTGCAGTGGTGGGAGATTACTTATATATACAATTTTTTTCCTAAATACATATATAAACATATAACTAAAAACTAGTTCCAAGGCACAGCATCCATCTTGAGAAGCCACTAGTATGCTCAGTGTCAAGAAATTCCCCACTTTTTATGGAACCTGAAGGTCACAAGAACCTGCCACTGACCCTAACCTCAGCCAGATGAATCCAATCCACACGCTCCATCTACACTTCCCCAAGATCCATTTTAATATTATCCCCAAATCTACAAGTAGGTTTTCTGAGTGGTCAATTCCCCTCAGGCTTTCCAACCAAAATTCTGGATGTATCTCACATCGTCCCATTCATGCTACATGCCCTGCCCACCTTATTCTCTTCAATTTGATCATCCTAGTAATATTTGGTAACAGACTACAAATTATAGAGTTCCTCATTATGCAACCTTCTCCAGCCTCTTGTCACTTCATGTATAAAGGCATATTCATACCAAACTCTCACAAAGACACAAGCATGAATCCCATCCATGGTGAGCTGCTATTAGAAAATTTTAAAACTATATTAACACGAGTTCCCTACTTACTCAAAGATAAGAGTTTTGGTATACGTTCTGACACCTACATTTGGCTACCACGAAACAGACAGATGTCAGTAGGATTTGAGGTTCTGATACTGGCCAGTATAAAGATGACTGTCTTCTGGGTTGCAGTGCCACGGTCTGGTCGAAGTTTCCCAAAGTTTCAAAGGTACTTGCTGCAGCAAGGTACTGCAACCTAAGAGACAGCCATCTTCAGACAGACGCCAATCAAGATTAAGATCCGTACAACTAACGCTGCTGCTTTCCACATCAACTTCTATGAAACTACAGGGCACAGTACACCAGATGGCTGTCATATTCATGTTTGCTACTGTGATAACCCGAAATCTCACATGGAAATATATATTCTGCAGAGTGCATAAAAGTTCCAAAGGCATTCTTTACGCCACATCGTACAAATAAGGTATCAGATAGTTCATATGGCCATTAATAGATGGCAGTATGAATAGTTCATGTGGCCACTGATAGAAGGCAGCACCATCTTTTCAACGATGATGTCATAACAGAGGATCATCATGCCACCTTGCAAGTTCTATCACCCATCATGCAGGCATTACTAATTCTGAGGGGGGAGGGGGGAAGAATGAGTTTGGACAAGCGTTTAATTGTATGTATAACATATATAGCAAATTTTATAAAAATCTCTCAGCTATTCTCATGTTGTATGGAAGCAAATGGACATCAAAAATGAGGATGTCATCACACAGGATCATGGGTAATGACATTGCAGAGGTCTGTTCACACACCTCACAGGTTCAAGCATTCAAGTACTAGTATGGAGTAGCCTCCAAGAGCATTAATATGTCCATCACAAATTTCATGAAAATTTGTTCATTGGTCTCGAGTTATTGTATGGCAGAACATATACTCCATATGATAGATGGCAGCACAATTTCTCAGCTCAGAAACATGACAGATAGGACGTGCCCACTCACTTACACTAAAATTCAAGAAATGCCTAAGAACAATATCAGTATATCCTATTATTTATATCAAAGAGGAATAAAATGAGACAACTTAAATTATTGACTCTCCTGCCAAGAGAACAAATGATTATTATACATAAAACATGAATGCTCGTGCACAAATTCAATACAACGTGTGAAGAACATTGACAACCCTGTTTCAAGTACCAAATCAAAAACCTTTAAATAACTTACTCATGCAGACAAAACTGATAAAATTAACATTATAATATTAGTTTGTTGAATCAAACATAAACTTAATACATTTTAAAACTGATAATAAATATGAGTCAAAAGATATAAAACTCACATTTGCATGCAAATAATGAAATTTCATTTTCTATAATTTCATGCAAAATTAGAAATTCATTTCGATTTTCCAACCTTGAGTACACACAACTTCCTGCAAGAACACACGTCATATCACCGATGATTGATGCCAGAGAACGTTGGAGAGGAACATTTGTGTCACTGTTCGCCAAAGCTGGCTGAAGTAAATATGAGAACACTCTCATAGGGCTGAACTGTTTCATCTGCAGTATGAATGGAATACTATGCACCACGCTGCTCGCAAAATCATTCTGCTCACTTCCAATGCAGTGTTGCATTAAGCTGAACCTCCAGTCCAAATATTCGCAATGTGAAATATGGAGGAGGTGATTAAGGCACAACATTTTAAACTCACTCCCTGCAAAACATGAAGAAATAAATGTAATTTCTTGAAAATGACATAACAAAACTGTGAGTACATCTCAATTCATGATTTTGTGAAACATAAATGTAAACTGTTTATATAATAAATGGTCTCAAAAAAAAAATCAAAATAAAACAATTCATTCCACAACCCTCTCACAAAGACAACACAGTAATTTCTGAAATTTTTTGCCCTACAAATACAGTCATTTACTAACTGTATGTACAGACTTCAGGTGATCATATTATAGAACTTCATTAAAGTTCAGACTCTCGTAAAGGTACTGAATATTATCTGCATAATGCTGTTTCAATCAAACCATTTCACATCCCTGCTACTCATGGATGTGCAACACTCAACAAGAGCTATCAGGATTTCTTTCATCATACACAAGCACTCCTCTGTAGTTTGGTTCTGGGTTAGTTGAAGTCAACTTCTTTAACCTAGTTACTTTACTTCTCACAGAAACTGGGGAAAAACAGGAGACAAACGAGACAGGACATCAACTATTTATAAAGTTGTGAACAGCATTCTCAATAAGCATGGTTTACCTATAAAACTAGTTCCGCTACTCAGAACATAATTAAATGAAACCTACAGTAAAGTGCAGTAGTTTCATGTATTTCCTATTCAGAATGGGCTGAAACAATGAGATATTTACTGCCAATACTTTCAAATTTTACTTTATAAAATGCCATTAAGAACATGCTAAGATCGTGAGGAATTGGGACTGCTATACAGCAAAGCTTTGGCAACAGAGCTGGCTAGCAAAGTGTTGTAAGTAGGTTAGGTTGGGATGCTTGATCGCAGTACGGGAAGTAAAACTGCAGAGTGAGCAAGAAATTGCCGTAGGAAGTACCTGGAAATAAGGCAAGGGGCAGATTAATCAGTTGCCTAGAATACGGGTGTTTTGGTAGTGCATTACACCGACCCTCCTGCGCTTTCGGAATGGCGTGTGCATCAAATTTTGCCAAAGACTCGCCAAAACGGCTACGGAAACCTGTGAAATGCTAAAGCAAGCATTTGGGGAGTCCGCAATGGGTCGTGCACAAACTTTTGTGTGGCATTCACGTTTTAAAAATGGCCGAACCTCTGTCGATGATGACGAGCGTTCTGGACGACCATCTTCGAGCACAACGCCCGAAAATGTTACGAAGATTCGGCAGGCCATTCACGAAGATCGACGTCGTACCATCAACGACTTGTGCGACATTGTTGGGGTAGGCTATGGGACCTGTCAGCTGATTCTAAAGGAAGAACTCCACATGCGACGCATCATGACAACGCGCCAGCGCACACCGCCCTCAAAGTTCGGCAGTTTTTGGCCTCAGACACCATGGCCGTCATCCCACACCATCCTTATTCGTCGTGTGACTTCTTCCTCTTCCCAAAGATGACAATTCAGCTAAAGGGAAGGAGATTTGAGACGATAGAAGAGATTGAGGCAGAATCGCAGATGGTGCTTGATAGGCTGACAAAGAAAGATTTCCAGGGATGCTTCCAGGCTTGGCAGCGGCGCTGGGATCGTTGTGTTCACTCCCAGGGGAACTACTTCGAGGGTGATGGATGAATTTAATACCTGATATAAGTGTACGGGTTTTTATAGGCGCAGTCTGGAAACTTTCCGATCGTACCTCGCATGATGGTCACCAGAGTGGATTAGCAAATTGCGCAAAGATGTTGACAGATGGGTGTCGAGCAAACCAGCCAGTAGTCTATGGGATGACTATACCAAATAATCACCAGAAGATAACCTATCCAAAGAACATTTCAGAGGTCAGAGCACAGAGACAGCTACCACCATAGCATTCCAGTGGAACCAACCTTGGAGATTCTATAGGCAGCTTGGAGCTTTACAACAGTTACCAGAGATAAGTAGCAGTGTAATCTGCTGGGGGCATCACTTATAAGATGGGGAGAAGTGGACCTCTAGCCTCCCTGGACAGCCTGCATCACTACATAGACTTATCAGCTTCTGGTTTATACTGACGTTAATTAATGAAGAATTTACAACCTCTATCATATGCTAGTAGAATGTAAACACAGGGACAAGTTCACACATCTATGTACACGTATGCCATGCCCTCATCAATAGGCGTTCTCTGGCCGGGTCCGGCAAAGCTGATGCTCCACCAGGAATATATCGATGAGAAGCCCATCCACTTTGCTAAAATGGCAGCAGCACTGATGGGACTCAGCCATACTGCTAAAAATTGGACAGTGGCAACAACAATAACCTTGTATAGATTCTGCAATAGTGTTTTACACCCTGATGATGGGGAACGGCAGGACCTTAAGAATATATGAGATCCTGCAAAAAATTCTATGTAACGCTTTTTTAAATAAAACAAAAATTAGGCCATCACCTCGTCGTCCACTGGATCCCCATCGAGGCCATCCTGGCTGACCCCGTATCACGGGGAGTGCTCGCCATATAAAACAAGCCGGTATTGGCTATAAAAGGCGAGGCTCCTGGTGGTAGGAGGTCAGTCGAGCCCGGGGGTCCCGCGGACAACACACACACAAGATTCAGTCATAGCAGTTGTAGCTAAGTGCGATAAAAAGGCACTGTCTTCTTCAACACACTACACCAGTAACTGTTTTATTCATTAATGAATGTCGCATCATTTGAGAACTTACTTGACAAAGCAGTTAACTGTGTGACAAGAGACAATAATGAATGATTCATATTGCCCTCTGGTGGCACTTGTTCATGCCATGGTAGTGACAGTAACGTAACAGCTGCCTCAATGTCCTGCTGCAAAGCGTAACGTGACTCCGGCACGTGCAGTAAGCTGCCAACCATCTCCAAGCACATGAGAATGACACATTCCCCCATTTCTTCCTCTTCATTTTCATATGATAATGTAGCCAGTACTTGCACTAATAACCTGATCATATCACCAAAATAATCATCAAAGAAAGTAGTTATAAAAGGTGTTTCATCTGGAGGGCTACGACAGTTATTTTCCAACAAAACAATTACCTCAATGGCACACCTGATTATGCTGTGCATAGATTGCAACAATTGTACCAACTGGGATACTTCATTTGTTCTCTTTAAGGACTTCATCAGTGCATCCAACTCATTCAGCAATTTACGCCATGTCGAACTCCCATCAGCACAAGAAACCTTAACTTTCTGCACACCTGCACTATTAACGTCTCTACTCTGAAGACCCGTGCTACAACCACTTCGGCCACCACTGACCGCGCGATCAGTTTCTTTAGGTTTCTCAGCATGACCTTTCTGCTTGAACGTCATTTCATCTCTACTTTCTTCCATCCCATCATCATCATCTTCAACATCTGTATAATCATCGTCCTCTTCCTCCTCCTCATAATTTTCTTCTTCCTCTGTCTCATTTTCAATTTCTTCAGTCTCTTCATTGATCTTATCTTCCTCTTCAATCTTTCCTCTTTTTACATCTTCCTGTCCTTCCCCCAATTCACTTTCAATCTCCTCCTGAGGAGAATCTTGCATTGTAAGCGAACTTGATAAGTATGAAGCCATATCCTCATACACACACCATTGCAACAGCTGGACAACATTCTGAAATTAACACAAAGAATAAGTTAAAGGAATAAAACAGTACTTTTAACCTTAAAATTCCCTTATTACTGAAGGACTCCGTCGATTGTATAATGATGTTATTCACAGGTTATGCAGCAATAAATTACTGCGCATGGTTAACTGGAAAGGTCCATGGATCGCAGTGGTGGCCATTTTCATCTGTAAGGTGCTCCATCCATCATCCAAACCAAATACAGTGGATTCCGGTTAATTGGGACACATCGGGACTAGAACACTTTGGCCCAATTAAGCAGCTGCCCCAATTATGCGAAGTTCCATGTGAAGAGTTAAAAAAGTTTGTTTTTTAAGATTTGTCCGAAATAAGCAGCTGGCCCGATTAGGTGATGGCCCAATTAACCGGAATCTACTGTATATTCCAAATGCAAGTTACAAAATACTATTGCTAATCAAAATTGCTCAGTAACATACAAATAACATTCCTGTGTATTCCACTGAATTTATTTCTTTTGTAAATGTCCACATATTCGTTTTAAGTAAAACGACAGCGTCTTAAATTCTAACCTTTTAGACCACTTATTTGAAGTTTGGCTACCAAAAATAAAATACAAAATTCTGAAAACCCATGA